ATATATATATATATATATATAACTATAGAAAGTCTTATTTGTTTAATGTCAGCTAGAAAAAAAGCTGTTTTTTGTAAAACCATTACAGTCTTTATAAACTAAACACGTATTATAATAATAATAATAATAATAATAATAATAATAATAATAATAATAATAATAATTATTATTATTATTATTATTATTATTATTATAAAACATAAAAAAACATACAAAGTTTTTATATATGGTTTTGAGTAAACTTACGCGTACCAATACAAAATGCAATAAAAACAGTAATATTGTCACATATTGTAATAATAAAAAGTTCAATTAATTTTAAGATTCAATATTCAATGCTGAATTTTCATGATTATTACTTCAGGTTTTAGTGTTGTGTGGTGTTCAGAAATGATCATTATATGCTGATTTATTTAAAAAAACTCATTATTGTCACTTTCAAAACTAAAAGTTTAAAAGTTCCTTTGTGTAAACCAAATTTTTTCATTATTTTTTTTTATTCATTTATGTTAAGCATTCTTAATAATCTTAATAATTCTTAATGTCTCAACTAATGTAAAACTTAATATTATAACCTTAATACTTCTTTAAAAGGATAAGTGTACACTGTGTCCAGTTTAACGCCATGCTACACACAATGCTTATCAGTTTATTTGAAGCGATTTTCATGTTTTATCCCTCGTCACAAAATAAAATATATTCCATCCAAACATACGTTTACATTCTGCATGCTAACCATTCTAATTTTCCATAACACTGACACACTTATTGTAAGAAAAAGAAAAAAAAACGAACAAACAAACAAACAAAAAAAATAAATAAACCACCATCTTGCGTTTTTCACAGTGGCCCTGCCAAACAAATCTCTGGCTGTGCTTTTATTGCCGTGCAGCGGTGGATTGATGCTAATATACTGCGGTGTGCCAGTGCTGGCAGCTGGCAGTCGCGGAGACAGCGGCGGCGCTCAGTAAGATTAGCCCCTGATACTGGGTAATTGCCAGTGGCACAGTTGCTAATCCGTTAGCTCATGCCTGTCTCTCTGCTTACTTATCGCTATATAACCAGAGCTGAAAAGCTTGAATGAAGAAGAAGCGGAAAAGGAAGAGGTGCAGACAAAGAAACGGAGCGACGTATGCTTGTTTTCTGGTCGCATGGATTCAGTGGTATGCTCGCTTTCACTGCTGGGTTCCACACAATTCCTTCATGTTGTCCCAACACAAATTGTTTAAGTTAGCTTAATCATTTTGACAAATGTAAGTAGATTGAACATAAAACAATTAAGTTGTCCCCCCCCCCCCCAAAAAAGAATTGTGTTTTTCCAAGTAGTTTGAACAAGCAAAAGTCTTTTTTTGAGTGTTGCATGACCACATTTAAGCGACTTTTAAGTTTTGCTCTTCACTGTAGTCCTCAGATTAGATTAAATGCTTTTTGGACACAAGACGCAATTGTATGCGTCCAAACATAACATTATTCTCATTCTTGTGTTCTCCAAATATATATTCAGGTTTCCCACTTTTAGCCAGATGTCACATTCCTTAACTCTTCCATGACCAACTAAAAATAAAAAATTAATGATGCCGTCATGTTTATATATTAAAAATTTATTCCTTTTCTTTTTGGCTTAGTCCCTTTATTAATCTGGAGTCACAACAGCGGAATGAACCGGCAACTTATCCAGCACATGCAAGCTGCAACCCATACCTGGAAAAGTTTATATATTAATAATATAAAATTAAAATATTATGGTTAAAAATCTAATGATATTAAAGTGTTTTTAGCTTGTATATCAATTTGCAGGACTTTAATAAACACCTTGAGCACAACAATGGATAATTTTCCTCAGATTCTGAAAAAAGATCAGAGGTACTAACTTTTTCATGGCTGAAGCAATGCTAATTTTGACAGCAAATTTTGATTTAGTTTAAGTCTTAGTATTTTGACTAAAATTTCATTGTAGTCATATTTTAGTCTTCTGAATCATTTTAGTTTTAGTCTAGTTTTAGTCAACTAAATCTACTCTTACGTTGACGTAATTGCTTCTCGCGTCTACTGTGGATCAGTTACTATTCAAATGTGTGTGTGCCTTATGCATCAAACAGCAAGATTAATTCTGATTGAATATTTTCCAAAACATGTCCCCCAATCACATTCTCATGGCATTTTTTTGGTCTACCAAAATGTCAGTATATTTTTATTATAGTTGTAGTCATCATCACTTAATTTTTATTTAGTTTTTGTCTAGTTTTTGTCGGTAGAAACTTTTTAGTCATAAAAATTATTAAACACTGCTGCAAAGTGATTCTTCGTCTCAAAATCTGTTTTACAAACTTATATATAGTTGTTAATATATATTTACAAACTATATTTATTTTTTTGGTCATATGCATTTTAGCAATGTCTTTGCCGTGGTAATTTTGAAGCCAAAATTAGCTCCTAAAGATTATTGACCTAGCATTTTAGTCTTAATTATCTTGTTATTTCCAGATAACTGCTGAGATTAAAAACATGGACTCATCCGGGTATTCATAGGCCGTCACTGAATTACCCTCATAATATAAATATGTAATATATCTGAACTTCCAGGATTTTGCAATTCCACTGTCCAAAATGTACTTTTTTTAATAATAAAATCAAGCAAATATCACATTTATTTCAAATTGCTGCAGATTTCACACATATTTTAGACAGTCGGGACACTGTTCAAATTCCTGCCAAGACACAGAGCGACATCTGCATAGTTTTACACTGAAAAAAAGATAATAAAGAATTAAGTTTTGTACATATGTGTATATTTTCACAGCAAAACAATAAAAGAAATGCGTCAAAATTTGCTTCAAAGTTTGCAAAAACTCACCATATTACGGTATTATTTAGTCGCAAAAAATCTGATTTTTGTTTTTTACACAAAATCTTGGAGGGACATATATATTTAATGTAATATACCTTTATGGACACCAAGCCTAATTTTAAGTGATATATAAAAAAAATAAATAAATCTTTCAAAACAAAGATTGAAATATGAAACATTTTAGTAGCTTTTTTTATGTTTCACTCCATTTTAAAATCTTATTTATTTCATTGCATATTTCATTTTTATCTTACAAGTCAAATCCAATTTGAACCATTCACATACAAGGCATCTTCTAAAAGATGTAAACAGTATCACTCTACTAATTGTATTGTACATAAATCATCTAAACATCTGCATATTATTCAATAAATTTACTAAAATGAATGTAACAATTTAATGAAGTTATATTTTACACATATCAACGTAAGTAAATATACACTGTAAAATAGTCGACTTTATCAAATGAAATGAGTGTAGTTAAATCAAAATGGACTGAAAGTTAATTCTTCTCATTTGAAAAGAGTTTTGAACTCAGTGTTGAAGATAATGAGTTAATTAAATACCTCATTACTTTAGCTTAAATGGAGTAAGTTCACAGTACTCATTAGGATTACTTTTTGACCTGAAATGGTTTGTTGCAATCCTCAAAGGGTTTAAGTTACCTTAACTTATTGGGTTTTACAGTGTATAGATTAAATATGCTAAGTAATACGCAGATTTCCCGAATTCCACTTATCAATTTAGAACCAGTTCCAAAATCTAAAACGAATGGAGAAACATAATGGAAGATTTAAGATTTTGTTATATAAGTCAATAATGAGGTGACGTATGGTTGTTTTCTGTTCTCATGGAATCAGCGGCAGAGAACAGTCTTACGATAGCATCGTGTGACTACATTTGACTTTTATTGACTGTTTTTTCCCTCCTCTGAAGTCCTCAAATCAGATTAGACGCCATCAAATGTTGTATTTTCTTCTAGCATGTCTTGTGACACATCTAACATCACTGGGTTTCATTTAGGATTTGCAGGGGACAAAAATAATACAGTCAATGACTGAAGTACACTTAATGCACGTAATGTGTTTAAACCTGCTAAACTCTGCGAAACACTAACAGGAGGCTGCGCTTTCATCATAGACTCGTTTTTTGGACATTTGCGCTACGGCTCTGATGTTATTAGAGAGATTAGTGAACGGGGTCCAAAATAAACATTCGCCAAATGTGTGCAAAATTGCCTTTGGTGAGTAAATAAAAAGGGAGTTGGTCGCCAGTTGGCCCAGTATTAGGCACTGTGGCAATAAATGGTTTAAATCTAATTGCAAGAAATTATAATTTGATAGTTAGCATTGCAAATCAAACCTCTAACTAAATGATAATGCCTCATGTTCGTGTTAAAACATCAATGTATTTAAATTATATTCTTTTTTATTCTTTTTTGTTTTTATTTCATATATTTTTTTTTTTTAGTCTTGTTTATGTAAAGCTCTTTAAACTACCATTGTGTATGAAATGTCCTATATATTTACTTCTGCTTAT